TTGATTTTGTGGTGCAACATTGTCCAGGTAAGGATAGTCTTGAAAAGAACTCATAAATAGATGTAGAACTCAGTTGTGCCAGTGAATCTAATTGACATTTTAAGACTAGTAAATCCTTCAATAAAACAGCAGTTGTTGGCAGCCTTCAATACATTGATCATAATTTAAAGTGTACATGTATGAGGATGTAGCTGCATATATCAAGTTCATGATGTTTAAATTATTAAAATACAGGAGGGTCATTCAGTTAAATTTCCCACCATTTTGGGGAAATAGGCCACAGGATGCTCTACAGTAAGGGAGAGTGCCCATACCACTGCAAAAATGGGAGACTGACTTTTGCTTTATTGACAGTTACCTACTGGGTGAAAATCTTAATCAGTCTTGCGAGTGTAACGGCATGGTAGTGACCTTGAGCATATCACCTAAGACAGCTACTTACACCCAATGGAAATGATAGTGAAAGCCAGCTGTATTAGTCTCAACAACAAGTTAGAATAACAACAGCAAGGCTACGTTATCCGTTACCTGTCCTCCACACAGCAATAAAACCTTGTCAAACATGTAAAAAATCTGGCTTGATGGCTGGTGAATGGTGGTTACCACTGTCTTCTTTTCTCTTGCTGCAAAGCTCTTCAGAGTCTTGACAAGGTTCAAGGCATTGCTAGAATCCAATCCAGATGTTGGTTCCTGATATAAAGAAGTGAAGTGGTTTGTGCTTACAGAAAAAATAGGTCGCACACAGTACTGCCCATTTGGCATAGACTCATGTGTACATTCTTATTCCCAAAGTTATATTTCCCTGAAAGACTTGAGCTTAAAATCAGTGCCAGAGAGGAAAAGCATACATTACAGCATTTGTGAACCTTGTGAAGCATGATTGAAAAGTCAATTGATACCCTAACAATGTTTTCAGTTTCTTTCTAGAAAAGCAAATAATGTATTCTGACTAGGAAATTTGACACAATGATCTGTCTTGTAAACTAATGAAAGAGTAATATCACTCACAAGACCTGTGGCTAATTAGTTAACTTTAATTAAATACAGTCCTACTGATATTTCAAACAACATGAAAGCACATTACACCAGGTATCAGTAAACACTTACATCCAGATAAATCAAAGAAGGATTTGTTATCAGCTCAGAACCAATGTTTGCCCTTTTTTTCTCCCCTATAAATAGGGAAATGTTAAATTACTTCATTTTAGTAATCAATTGAAAACATTTTCACAGCACATTATAACTAACATTTATGTACAGGACATCATCTATCATAAATGGTAACATTTATTTTAGGAAATACCTGGAGTGGATAAACCATTAACACAGGTGTACCATTCATAAGGGGTCAAGACTAATACTTAGATATTGCATAAAGGAGGCAAAGTGAATGGGTCACCAAATTGAGCCACAATTGACATCTTAGTGGTAACAATAGGGGATTTGCAATTTAAAGTTTTATGTCTATTATTGTAGCAACCAGATGTCTGCAAGGTATGCATCTTTCTCTTCACCCACAGTTGCTAAATGCTAAGTGAAAAAAAATCAGCTATGGTTTTCAGAGATTTGGTGCTGCATACTTTGGTGAAATGAATAACCAACTTTGCTTTACCTCAATGTCAGTAGACAAAACAGCAAAGAAATGAACCAGTTTTTCTTGATTACACTATGACAATGACCATCTAATTGAGGTAAGTTTCACTTACTAACAATAAAATTAACTACATGGAAAGACCCAAAGGTGGCCATGTTTGTGTCATAGACGTGACTGTACAACAGGCTTCAAATTCAAAATTACATGAGAAGAAAATTGTGAGAATTTGATGAGTGACCACCCAGGATGAGATGAACATGCTTTTAAGGTTTAACTCCAGCTCTGTGTTATACATACAGTACAATACATGGATAGGAGGGCACTGACAAAGGAACAGGTGAAAAAAAAGCAACATTTTATATTACACAATTGCATATACTAGTAAGAACGTTTCCAAATACCTCCTGATAAGCCTCTTTCAAAAGGACTTCCAATCTCTGTAAATATGCCATGTATCGAAAGTAGTATCACAGTGAAATTAGTTTGAATTCAATTTTGCAGTAATAAAAAAAAATAATAAAATTGAGTAGATGGGAATCAAGCAATAGACATTCCACTTGGTGGCTCTATAATAATAACCATAGTGGTATCGATAACAATCATGATAGGTATAGGGAAAAAATGACTGTTGAGTGATGATTTGATAGCACTTTCCTTTTTTTAAAATACAAAATACTTCAGAACAAATGTCAAAAAGGCATTTGTTGTGAGTTGCCACCATTAAAGGAAAAACTTGAGGTGTAAGTAACAAATCAAGATTTTAGTATTGCTTCTCTCATTGACCAGTCAAACATCATGCAATAAGTTGTAGATAGTTCAATCTATCACAAACAAACTCTTCTACTGATGTGATGTCATAAAATGCGACAAACATTGATAGTCCTGTTTACCACATACTGCATCACAAATCTATATTTTAAAGCTGTTTCCAGCAAAATGAACTCACTTGTATCCAAGCACTTCCTGATATCCAAGTTGTCAACAATTTGATCAACCTAGATAAAGTCAATGGAGAACATTAACTAAAACCTGTGTTCAATTTTTAACCTACCTGAACATACCCATGTATTCATGGAAATGTTATCTATAAGGATAATTCAATTGCACTATAAACAGGGTTCTTGTACTTTTTCAGGAACCCATTTCAAGGACTTTCAAGGACTTTTTAGGTCATTTTCAAGGACCTTGGCTCCCAAATTCAAGGACCTTTTGCATTAAATACGAGCTAATAGCAAGAAAAAACATTGCTCTTTATTGTTAAAAGTAACAGGTAAAAGTCCATCAAGTGTGACTTTACGCATGCACATCAGAGTGATCATGTGCTAGGTAACCAAGGTTATTTTCAATGCACCAATCAGGTACAAAATATGTAAAATTCATGTGTGAAACATCATAATTGGACGTGGAATTTGAAAGGAAAACTCATTTTCATGATTTTTGCTACAAATTTACACTTTCAACATCGAAAACAAAACAAAACTTTGACTTTGATTCATTTTCACTTATTTTCAAGGACTTTTCATAAATTTTCGAGGAGCAGAGTCTAAATTCAAGGGTTTTCAAGTCCTTGAAAACAAAAAATTAAATTCAAGGACTTTCAAGGAGTGCAGGAACCCTGTATAAAACTAAATAGATTTCACATTCTTTCTTTACATCCTAAAACCAGTATGCATATTCTCTATACTGTTTGCTACACCTTCCTAAGGTGCTGACAAGGAAAATTTGTTTTAAAATCAAGAGCTGCTTTAATTGGTGATCATTTCCTTCACTCTCACGACCTTCACGTTTGATTCAGGGAAATCTACAGTTGATCACACAAAATACCTTTTGTAGCTTTTCAGCTTTAGAGAGGGCATCTGGTAGGCGAAGCATTGCAGAAAACTGCAGATATGATAATGACATGTGTCAGATTTGTACAGTTGAATGTATATCAGAAAAAGGTCATATAAATCAATACAGCAAAAACAACTCTAGCTTAATTACAGAAAACAAAGGAAGTTAAAAGAACTGCTAGTAAATTGTAAATGCAGTTATGGTGACCCTTACCCAATTATTTGATAAGTGACAGTTAGAGTCAAGCTAAACCAAAAGGCAAAAGAAGTGATTTCCCACCCAAGCAGAAAGGGGAGCAGGATGGCCAAGAAATGATGCAGTGGTGAGTTTGCTTGTCTCCTACAGCTTTGGCATGGGTTAGATTCCCACACCTGGCGTCACATGTGAGTTGAGTTTGTTGTTAGTTCTCATTCTTGCTACGGGGTTTTACTCTAGGTCCTCCACTTTTCCCTCCAAACTCTAATTTGACCTGGAAAGGGTCTTGAAGGAGTGGACAGGAAGAGCCACCTCAAAGAAAGTCCACTTCTAAATTATTATAAAGGGAATTCTACTAAACAATAAACTTTAACACAAATAATTATGGTTAAAACTGAGACAAAAAAATTGAGATGCTTACAGTAAGAGTTTCCCGAAGAGTAAGATTGGCAAAGAAAATGTCTTCTTGCAGGACATAACAAATAACCTTCTTCAGTTTCTTGTTCAACTGTGTACCATTGAGAAGGATTTCACCACTTTCTGGTGACATTCTTCCAGCAAGAATGTTTAGCAATGTTGTCTTACCAGAACCTAAAACAAAAATGAATAATGTAATTGTTGTGAATCACTTGTTTTCTTGGTTAGGGTTTTTCAAAAAGAAAATGCTATATTTTCCTTTCCTTTGATTTGGATGATAAAATGAACAAAAGAAAATGGTCAACAAGAGAGAGGGGTCAAACTGAGGGATTGTGAATAAAATTGTTCTGAGCTGTTTCACGATATTGCGATGACTCAGCATGTAATTTTCCTGCTTTTTGTTGCAGATTGAGGGTTTTGGGGCAGATGAAACTTGCAATATTACTTTTCATTCACACGTGACGAGTGTTCGTGTTTTATTTTAAAATTAAAGAACCTTGGAACGCAGTAACCTTTCTTTCGAACGTACAACTTGCATGAAACGAATTCACTTGTAAAACGGCTGCATGACTGTAATTCTCACACGTTAACTTAATGACCCAGATGTTACCGACATCTTTGTAAAAAAAGCTTGGCTATTTATGTTTACATAACAAAAAGCCTACTTACCACTGGGCCCCATCACAGCTAACAGTTCCCCAGGGTGAACTTTCCCGCTAACATTGCGAAGAATTTCTCGATCACCGATCTTTACGCCAAGACTGTTAAATGAGAGGAAAACTGGTACATTCGCCTCCACTTCTTCACTCATTTTTGTCGCTCTTTCTCTACTTTTGGGCTGGTTCCTCGCTGTGCATTCACCTTGCCTCTGCAATGTAACGATGACTCGGAGTGCGGACAGAAACATATAATGCAAATGTACATGACACTTCATGTCATCATCATGAGGTTCATCTTTCTTTTCATTGGTTCTCTCACTGATATAAACCAATCATAGGCTTCTATTTGAAGGAGGACTCAAGAGTTTGGGTTACAAATGTCATTACGTAATCGGAAATAGTACGAAACGACACACCGGAACTTTCACTCTGATGGTGCAATCGTGACAACTCATATTTCACTAAGGGAAAACGCGGTCTTTTTCAGTCTTTTTCAGTCTATAAAAAAATGAAGCTACGCTATTGGTGAAAATATGATGACGAGAAAAGCAAGAATAAATTATGAAAGCGATCCTCGCAGTAATGAAACCTACTTATGTAGTAGTGGTAACAAGGCCTGAAAAAAATTGAGACCGCACGGGATTTGAACCCTTGACCTCTGCGATACCGGTGCACTGAGTGCTCTACAAACTGAGCTAACGAGCCAGTTAGGAGCTGATTATTATGTTGGTTGTTGCTAAACCCGTCAAAGTGATATAATTCAATGAATTTGAATCACGTGCACCTCCCCTAATGTCATCATCTATTGCATAACTTGCACTAACTGCAAAAAGATATACATCGGCGAAACAAGAAGACGACTCGGTGATCGATTCCGAGAACGCCTTCGCGACGTAAAAAGGAATGAAAAGGACGCAACAAAACCTGTCGCTAATGAGACACTTGAATCTACCTAATAATTCTAAGCACATGATTCTGGCACCGTGTTCCCACCGATAACGAAGCTCGACTTTCTGCATATAAATACACACACAACCCACAATTCCTCCATTCGCTCTGACGAAGGGCTAACGCACGAAACGTCAGCTTTTTAAACTCTTTACTGTGGCCAGTTTACAATTCAACTTAGTTCATAAAACCAAATGACCTTGTTACACCCACTGACGCAGCACCACAGTTCTTTTAGAAACTTACCCCCATTATTCATTTATCTATTAAAGAAACCATGGATTCAGCTGTGCAACAAATGATAGCGGTTTTTGACCAATCAGATTGCCCGTAGCATCTCTATCATTTTGTAAATCATACTGAAATAACAGGACTTGAAGATAATTATGTTCGCTTGGATTTTTAAGTATATTTCAAGTATTGCGAACCGCTTGAACTTTTTACACTGGTTACTGAGTTTTCTTTTGTCTTTTCTTATAATTATTATTAACATTACTATTCTATCATTATTATCATGGCGTCATCGCAAGTCGAATGTTGACCGCACTTGAAGGCAATTTTCGAACGGTTAGGTTGCTCTTAGGTTATTCTTGAACTCACCTGCTTAAGCAAAAACATCGTGTCGTCTAGATCTGTAGATATTCTAAAAGAGAGTGCATTGGTTTGGTAAAACAAGTAATCGGCTAATGTTGCTGTTCTTCTTGGCTTCTTGCCAAGTCAACATTGATGTATAAAATACTAAATGAAGACACCCCGCCCAACCATAGGAACTCCTTTGTCTTAGAAGCAATGTTGATCAGACTGATTACCATCTCAGAAATAGTGCTACAGATCTGACACTTCCTTCCTAAACCGAAGAGAGATTTTCTAAAAAGAAGTTTTAAATATAGCGGCGCAATGCTTTGGAACCAACTCCCAAATGAAGCAAAATTAGTGGAATTGATATATATTTATTTAATGAATGTATCCAAAGGTAATTGGGTCATGTCATATCACATGTATTGATCTTTTACTTAGTTTACAATAGGCACTTAGTTTGTTAAAGTTAATTTTTTTGGAATTTTAGACTTACCATATTATTAATCATAGTTTATAATATGAATTTAGTTCATAATAGTTGAATTCTTAAGATTATAGACCAACGATATTATTAATCTTCTATTATTAGTTGCTGTCTCTTTTTTATGTATGTACAAACACGCGCTCCACGGAAACCAGCTGATTTTTCTTGAGGCTAGCCTGTTTCTTTGATTTAATAAAGTATACCTACCTACCTACCCGCGCTGGGATGTCGATTACTGCTATCGGTATAATAAATGAATAAATAAATAATGGAAAAGCATTTATATAGCGCTAAGCTCGACTAGTTCTCCGTAGCGCTTTACAAAATTATAGACTAATTAACATAGCAATTACATTATAAAAATCGTAAATTAAAAAGCGTCTTTGAACAAGCATGTTTTAAGGTTCTTCTTGAAAATTGCGACAGATTCAGATGTTTTCAGGGAATATCGTTCCAAAGCTTGGGACCGGCAATGGAGAAGGCACGGTCGCCATAGTTCTTTCGAAATGTTCTTGGAACCATCAGGAGCATTTGTGATGAGGAACGCAGTAAACGAGAGCCATAATTCGTTTGATGAAACAGTTCAGCAATATAAGTTGGAGCTAAGCCGTGTAGACCTTTATAGACAAGTAGAAGTATTTTGAAGATAATGCGATACTTAACAGGTAGCCAATGAAGTTTCTTTAATGCAGGTGTAATATGTTCCCATTTCTTTGTCAAAGTAATAACTCGCGCATCAGCGTTCTGTATAGACTGTACCTTGTTAATCATATAGTCAGGTAGTCCATAGAGAAGGGAATTGGAATTATCCAATTTAGATGTAATGTCTGCATGAATCACAATTTCAGCAGTTTCCGGACTGAGATATTTTCGTATCTTACTTATGTTCCTTACGTGGTAGTACGAAGCTTGATAGACTTTTTTAACTTGCTCATACATCAAGTTGTTAGATGTTGATCGAAAAACACTCCTAAATTTCTTGAAGATTGAGCTGGGCTAATCTTTTCATCACCAACTTCAAAAAAATTGAGTACAGAAGATTGACGAAACCTGGAACTGATGAGTAAAAATTCGGTTTTATCTTGGTTGAGCTTCAAGCCGTTCAATATCATCCATGAATCAATGTGTTTTACACACAATTCCACTTTAGATTTAACTGTTGATAGTTCATCTTGCGAACTTGACAAGA